GCATGAATATCCTGCTTTCCTCCCCTTCTCACCAGCATCCTGCATCCTCATTAAAGCTCCTGGCATTCCCCTCTTTCCCATCCTCATTCCTTACTTATTGCTTTGAGCTGGGCTTGGAGGCACAAGGCAGAGCCTTTTGTTCAGTTGTGAACAATTCGTCATTGTTCTCCACTTTCTCCCGTAAATTCCCTTTCATCCACTTCCTAATTTTCCTGTTGTGCTTCCACGTCTGCCTGGAGTCTCCCGAAGGAGTCTGGCTCGTGTGGCAAGCACAGACACTGCTCTGGGCTGGGGGTACCTGGGAGAAGCTTTGTCTCTTAGAGGCAATGCTGTAACTTCACATGGGGAGGGGAAAAGCTGGAATTAATTATCCAGGAGCTGTTTGTGCAGGTCCCATTCACTGCATTCTCCCTGGATTTTACTAATTCATGGGCTCGGTGTCATTGTCTCAGCTGTAGTGTGGAGAGTCCCTCCTTGCTGGTTAGGTGCTTTTGGAGTGTCCCTTGGTGTTCTCCTGATTTCTGTGGCTTTTGAGATGCTTTTCAAGAGGAAATGTACTCGATAGATTGAGACCAGTAACTTGCTTCATCCAATATTTTTGCTTATTTTAAGTGATTTTTTTAAGAATAACATTGGGAAAATGAAGGCCACAGAAAAATTAATGGAAACTCAAACCAGCTTGAGACTTTCCCCCTTCTTTCAGCTGCACGTGCATAGAGTGTGCAAAACAAAAAAAAAAATTGCTGTGAGTAGTAAATTGCCAGTTATTTTGACAGGGTATTAGCTTTGAAACCTAACTCTGGTGGTGAGTACATGTGATTAACATGACTGGGTGCAAGAGATCCATAAGAAATACTCAGTTAATGCCCTTGTCTTTAATTCTCCACTTGTTCCAAATGTTGAACCCTGATGAGCCACAAAAAAGTGCAATTCTGCCTCAGCAGGCAACTGTGCAGTACATGTAAAGCTGAAAATTCGGTGGAGAATATATATATTTTGTCTAATAATACTTTGAACCTTTCTGAAATGTGTTGCAGAGTCTCCTGCAGGTTGTGACCTCAGAGTTCTGATTCTGGCAGTGACTTCTTATAAATACTTGTTTTATATATACATGTATGTTAGTTTAATAATTCCAGAGGAAAAATAATTGCAGAACTTCTTTTTTTCTGGTGTTTATGTGAGCGCAGAACGGCGTTTGGGCTGTCACCCACGCAGCAGCCTGTCTGTCTCTGTCCCAAATGTTTCTGATTTGTGCCAGGGAATGCCAAGTACTGAAGGGAAGGTTCTGACTGTAATGCCAAAGGTTCTGTGAGAGAGCCTTGTGCCAAGCCCTGCTCTCTGGGAGCGAGAGCCCTGTTGGGATGTGCTGAGGACATCCTGCTCAGGATGGCATGGGAAGGTATTGCCTGCATCCGGCCCCTCTCCACTTCCCCACCTATCCATGGCAAGCCTCAAAGGTACTGGAAAGTTAGGGGTACCACACAGAATGACATCTCAAAATGGCAGGGTAGGTGCCTGAGGATGCTGCCATGCTGTTGGTGGGTGCTGCAGGAGTGGGAATTGGGTGAGGGCAGGGCTGCCACTTGGGGACAATCCAGGCCAGGGGTCCTGGGGGACCTGCAGGGAGGATCCCCTGTGGCAGTGCCAGCTTGCCTATCCCTAGCCCAAACACCAGCCAGAGCCCTGTTCTCCCATCCCTCTTCTACCCAACAGGGTGTGTTCAGGTAGCAGGAGCCTCTCCCAGGGCTGTCACCTTATCTGCCACCTCCTAGTGCAGCTGGCAGTGGGCAGGAGCCTTTTCCAGAGGGAGCTGGGGACAAGGCAGCTGTTGCCTCTTGATTGTGGCTTTGGCCTGGCCTTCCTGGGCTGTGCTGGGGGGGGCTGAACATTTACAGATGTGTGCATGGAGAACATGGGGCTGTGTTAGGTAGGTGTCACTATGTGTATTGGATCTCTAGAAGTTGTTTATATATATTATTATATTATTAGTATTATATTTTTTGATTTTTTTTGTATTTTTCTTTTATATTTTTGTCTTTTTTGGGTTTCTTTTGGGGTTTTTTTGGTGGGTTCTTTTTGGTGGGTTCTTATTATTTTTGGGTTTTTTTGGAGGTTTTTGGTATTTTTGGAGTTTTTTGGTATTATTTTGGGGTTTTTTTGGCATTATTTTTGGGGTTTTTTGGCATTATTTTTGGGGTTTTTTGGCATTATTTTTGGGGTTTTTTGGTATTATTTTTTTGTGATTTTTTTTTAGATTTTTTTGGTATTATTTTAGGGTTTTTTTGGTAGTATTTTTTTTGGTGATAAATTAGTATTTTATTAGTGATATATTTTTATATTGACATATATTGTTTTATTTATTAGGTCTCTATAATTTATTTAGACAAAACAAATATACACATTTATGTTCGGTATCATAGATTTATTGGATACATATATGTGTGTGTCTGTTAGAGAGGTGTCATTTATTTATTTACACATATATTATGAAGTTGACTTATTCCTAGTGTTTTAGGAGGGCGAACAAATAAACAGATGGCTGGAGTTTTCTATAGAAATTTTGGTGTTGGTGGTATGGTTTGAGGGTGTGACTTTTTATTTTTGTTTTTGCAAAGAGAAAAAATAAAAAAGTGAAGGAATTGAGTTGCTTTGTAAGAGCCACTGGGATGCAGGGGTGTCTTAAAGCATTGCTTTTTTGAGGGCTGACTATTTTTGTATCAAACAACCCAGTTTATTTCTGCTGAAGACAGGAAGCTTTAGGTTTTTTTTAAGGATGTTAATCATCAAACACTTGTCTAAAATCTCTAAGGAACTTTTCTTTTTTGCACTGGGGAAGATGAACACTCACAAAAGCCCCCGTGAGACCTTCAGATGTATGACTTGATTTCAAAACTGCCAAGCAAACCAGCAAAACCCCCTGGCTTTTTTCCAGGTTTTGCAGTGGGGTCAAGGATCAGCAGTGGGAGCTGCTTGGAATTGCCAGCTCAGGGTGGCAGATGGTGCTCGGAGCCAGGCTGGGAAAAGGGGAGCAGGAAGGATGGTGCCAGGGTGGGATAAGGGGAGCAGGAAGGATGGTGCCAGGGTGGGATAAGGGGAGCAGGAAGGATGGTGCCAGGGTGGGATAAGGGGAGCAGGAAGGATGGTGCCAGAGTGGGATAAGGGAGGCTGGGGGTCAGGTTTATCTATTCAATAGCATTAGAACCCAGAGTTTGAGACAGATCATCAGCACATCTGAATTTATACCCACTCCTTTAGTTTTCCCTGTTTCTGTTGACCCAGGGGTTTCAGGTCGTCTGTGGAAAGCTTGGAGATTTTCACCTGTAACTTTTTTCTCCTTTATTTTCTGCAGCTTCAGCTTAACTGAGTGTGACCTGGGCAAATTAAAGTTACTTGGGTGCTGTTCTGGCCAACTCATTTTTATTCCTTAGGAAATTAATTAAGTAGCATCAGTCAAAAATGCTTGTTAATCTATTTTTTAAAAAAGTGTTTGTGCTATTGCCTGAGTATTGCCTCAGTTTTGCAAAGCTCTATAAACTATAGAATGTGTAATTTCTATTTTTTTTTTTTTTTGCAGGGAAGCAATGCAGTGTGTCCTAAAAAGATGTGGAGGATGTTGTGTAATTGATTAACTGTATTTTCAAGCAAAGCCACGCACTATGATAGTGTGAAATGAGCTTTTCAATACTCTCGCCTTAGACTCTTTTCACAGCAGTCATTTGTTTTCTGGTTGGATGCCTATGAACAGCTGAAAGAGAAGCTTTCACTTTTGCAGTTTAATATCTATTGTGCCCCATTGTTTTGGTTTCTTTTTAGGCCTGTGTTTAGCTGCGTTGTGTGCAATGTCTTGCTTTGGTTGCCAGGCCATCCAGGAGCCTGGACAATAATGGCTTGCCTTTTGTTTTAGAGCACACAGAAATAAAAAGTTATTTGAAATTCACATGTCTGGTGTTCAGGGTCTGTTATCAAGCTGCAGGAGTAATTTCAGATTTTCCAATGTGTTTCATTGATTTTTTTTTTTCCCAGTGAGTGCATGGTTTGTATCTCTGTGCTTTTCTCAGAATTTTGCCAGTCCTCCCCTGTCTGTGTGGAGCGTGTTTCCCAGTGCTGCTGGAGCTGGCTGACCTCTGTTTTAAATGTCAGGGGTGCCTCACCCCTGCTCTGCAGATTATATCTGCCTTTTTTAACCCTTCCTTGTGACCCTGCTTGAAGCAGCACCACTTTAGAGAAGCACTTGTGCCACCAGAGCTGTGTTTTACACCTCTGCAGTCGCTGGTTTTTCCAGCTGTGTAACTACTGACTCTTACTCCTCCTCTGCTGTGTGGGAAGTGCCTTGTCCAAACTGAGTGTCAACAGTTTCCTGGTGACCAAATAATTTCAGTATTAGTTGGATAACTAGGAGGAGCAAGCAGCAGAGATGTGCAAGGTCCGGTTTGTGCGCTTGCAGGTTCTCAGCTGTGATGGTGGTGTGGGTTTAGGAAAATCCTGGCTGGATGGGGGGATCAGTCTGGGTAAGAATCCAGCCTCAAAACACCCTGTCCACTGCTGGAGGGGGCTTAGGAACCTGCTCCAGTGCAAGGGGGTGGAATGGAGCGATCTCCAAGGTGCCTTCCAACCCAGGCCCTCCTGTGATTGCCATGGTTTTACTGGGCCTGTTTCCTGTGGGTGGGGAGGAAGGAAATGCTGCTTTGAAGTTTGGATTTTTGCCCATCTTTCAAAGATGGGGAATTGAATTGTGTGATCTGCCTTGCAAAAACCCCTTCCAAAGCCTATGCTTGAGGGGGAGGAAGGTGTTTGAGTGACCAGACAATCACATCACCATATCAGTGGCAGCAAAAGCTCCTGAATCTTTTGTTGATAAGGATAACGTGGGAGGAATGGGAGAGAAATGAGTTAGGGTGCAGGCTAGTGCACATGCGTTTTATAGGATAGGAGGAATTTGCTCTAGGAATTACTTACAAGTGCTGAGCATGTACAGTTCAGCTCCTGATTCCAAGCACTGAACAAAGGCCTTGATCTTCCTTTGCAGAACCAGAAGACGAAGGAGCAGATTGAGAACCTGCTGCAGAATGGGAAGCACAAGGAGCTGCGGGACCGCCTGTGCTGCCGGCTGACCTTCGGCACGGCCGGCCTGCGCTCGGCCATGGGAGCGGGCTTCTGCTACATCAACGACCTCACAGTCATCCAGTCCACTCAGGTGAGCTGGGCATGGCTCTGGGACAGGCTCTGCCCACGGGGAGAGGGTGGCATCAGCTGGAATCCCTCTGAAATCCCAGAGCCGGGCTGCAGCAGCCGCTCAGCAGTGGGGTGGAAGGCTCAGAGGGAATGAAGTGGCTCGGAGAGCTTTGGAATTTGGCCAGTGGTTGGTCTGTTACACAGCCCTGGAGTTGGAAGTCATGAGCTGCCATAAGAACTTGTAGTATTTGTCAAAAACAAAACAACAAAAATAACCCAAACCGAAAAAGCGAAGCCCCAGCCAAACAAGCTTTTCTTTTGTTTTTACCAACATATATGGACTGAGTATACATATGCATATACGCAAACAGTTTATTTTTGCCCACCTCTAGCCTTCACTATTGAAAATAGAATGAGCTGATACATTTGGAACCCTTAGACAATCAATAAAATGTTTGTTATTACAAAACTACTGAATCTTACCTATTCTGACAGATACTTTTTGTAGAAATGGAGCTTCAGCCATATGATCAAAGGTGTTTTATTGAGTGGTTTAGCAAGGGCTGGTAAAACCTCTCATTTAATACTGTGCACTTAAACTTTTTAGCTAGTTTCTCTTTGCAGGCTGACCTCCTTCAGGACATGTGACTGAAATAATGCTTTCTGTTGGCCTAGGATGGAGGGATGTGCTTAAAACTTGGAACAGCTGGGACTCTCCTAATCTGTGTGACATTCTGTTGTCTGAGTTGTACAACTGGAGCCCACACTCTTGTGGAGAGGCCAAATTCCAATGCTGTTTACAGAGGTTTTGTGTTGAAATGTTGGTTTGAAACTCAGCCTTCTCTCTGAGAGTTTTGCTCTGCAGTAGCTTCTAACAAAAAGCTTCCTTTAGGTGTCTCACCCGTAAACTGGACACATCTTAGAATGATCCTTCCTTCACTCCTGCCCTTCCTGATCCAGCCTCCTCTGCCAGAAATGCTGAAGTGGCATGAACAGGTCCAGGTGGACTCTGTGGATGCAGTGGGAGCTGAGTGAGAAAAAGTTTGAAAATCAGTGTTTTGTTGCCAGTGGTGGAAAAGCCTTCAAAGCCGAGCTGCTTTGAAGGCGAGGTCTGTTTTCTTGGCAGCAGAGGAGGTTTCTGGGAGTCATTTCCCTGCTGCTTTGGAGGTGCTGGCCACTGCCTGCTCCCTCTGTGGGTCTGGCTGGCGGAGCGTGAGCAAGCGTGGGGTCTGCTGGCTCAGCCACGTTCCTGGCAGAAAGGGGAATGCTTTTGCTGGGCAGGGAATGTGCTGGCAAGCTCAGTTTGATGGGCATTGCTGGTTTTTGAGAGTTGCAAACCGGGGGTGTGTGCATCTGCTCCCTCTGCACGGCTGCTATTTTTAGTTGTTTATTAAAGCTGTGGATCAAGTCGGGAAAAGCAGCCTCTGGGAGGTGGATTGGAACTTTTTTCTGAAGGAACCTGCAGCAGGTTTAATCTTTGTTTGAGCACTCTTGTTCCAGAAGCTGAGGGCAGGAACGGTTATGCTGAGCCTGGTCTGAGCATGGGCAGCCCTTGTTCTCTGGGACAGGAATAAATGCAGACCTGAGTGTAACCAACACTTCCTTCAGTTAAAATAAGCTGCAGTGAGGCTTCACATGTGTTCTGTGTCCTTCATTTGCTCTGGCTTTTTTTCATTTGATCTTCATTTGATTTGATTATATTGCTATTATGTCAGATCCAGAAAGGCACAGAATGTTTAGCAGTTGCTGTGGACTCTGCTGAAAATTGCAGGTACATAACTCCATTTAAAGCCCTGATTCCTTGGCTTTTGTCCTACTTTGATGCATGCCCAGGTGCTTTTATTAGTGGGAAAGCAACCTGTCACTGATCTTCACAGTGACAAAACCAAGCCACCTTTGCATCAAGGAATTTCCTGCTGCTAAAAAGCAAAGGTAAAGGTAAAAGATGAAAAATTTAAATGCTGGACTTCATAAAGCTGGTTCTACCTCTCTGGATTTCATCAACCAAAAATCTTTCAGTCTTATTCTTGATACCATCACTGTTCCCTCACTTCTCTTTTGAACTTGAGCCTAGGGGACTGGACATGCTGTAGGTGTAGACTTGTTCTGTTCCATGGATTTTGCATCAGGAAATCACCTGAACCACACAGTGGGAGAGGAAATTGTGATACTTTAGTCACCTGAAGAGAATTTTGGCTTAGCTCTGGGGGGATTATACAGCTGTGTGCTGACACCTGCTAATGAGCCATTAATTATCACCATGAAATGCACCTGGGCCTCATTTATAACAGTGGCAGAAATTGGCTAGTAGTAGCAATTAGGGACACTATCAAAACCTGAGTCTTGTTAAAGGGAAGTAGAAATTCTTTAAACTGAGAAACTTTTTCAAGAGAGGACTTAACCTCAGAGGTGCTGGAATTCCCAACTGCCCTTGTGGCACCTGGAAGAAGATTGGTGGGAGCTCAGGTAGAAGGTTTAGATGGTACAGAGGCTCTGCATTCACTTCCTCACTGCCATTTATTGATTTATTTCCTGCAGCTTTCATAAAGATGTTTGGATAGCAAGCAAGTCCTGTAGGACTGAACTAACTTCAGCTGTGGAGTCTGTGGCTGAGCTTAAGGGATTAATTTTAAGCACACTGCTCCATAGCAGAAAGGAAAGACATTCCTGTTTTTCTTTGTACAAAATCTTAGCCTAAATATGGGATCTGTTGTAAGGAATCTGCTGTTCATGTCTTTAGGTGTTGTTCATGTTGACTTGAAGAGTTTTTCCTGTTCCTCTCTCTTTGCAGCTGAGAATGAAAGTTCTTGGCAGGCTGTCAGGGCACGGTGAACATTTTGTGTGTTTTGGGCTCAGTGTGAAGGTGACTTCAGCAGGTGATCCTGCCATGGCACAGCCTCCAGGCCTGTCACCATTCAAAGAGTTATATTTATTTTAACAATAAATACATCCCTCTCTGTGCAAATCCCTCAGTGTCTGCAGCTGAGAGGGCTCTCCAGAGAGGTGCCAGCATCCACCATGTCATGCTTTGGAGTGCATCCTTCGAGTGCCTGCTTGGACTTGATCTCCAGCCTGAACAATCTGTGATTCTAAAGGGCCAAAGCCATGTAAGAAAATGGGTCTTGAATTCCAGGGTTGGAGTCAGGCTGGCTTTCCAGATAAAAACATCCTGAAGGATTGCACTAAGTCCAGGTTTGGGGGGAAATCTGTTTAATTCTGGTACAGAACACCTCCACTCCCATCAAGAGGCAGTTTGTGCCTCGGTGAAAGGCAGCATTTGTAGGATCAGTGTGGCTCTGAGTGCTCTGTGCTCTAGAAACTTCCATTAACAATAGTGCTTCCATCTTTTTATCTGAAACTGCTGATCCATCGTGGGCTGTTTCCGTGGTGGGTCTTCAGAAAGCTTCTGGCTGAGAAATGAACAGATGTGAAGGCTGCAGGGGAGGTGAAACTGGAGTAAAAGCTAGTCTTCTTACCCAAACCATTCCCTGATTTTAAGGCAAATTTAGGACTAACACTTTGGAAACAATGTTGAAAATGTCTGACTTGTACTGTGGACAGAGAGATCAAGACAAGGCTGACACATTTTATATTGCCTGAAGGGATAGACTTCCAAAATATGGATTTTTCTCAATTCAGTCTTGAGAAGATGATTTGAATAAATGAGACACAGTTTGGATTGTAAATGGATGTTTACTTCTTGAGTGTTTTTTGTTGTTCTGTTTGCTTTTATCTCCCACAACAGTTGCTCTCATTACTTTCTTTCAGTGAACACTGGGGGAAAATGCTTGCTGCTTTTGAGAATATTGTTGTTGATGTGTTTGAGCTGTATTTTGACATTATCCATCCTTTGTGAAAGATCACCTTTAATGTTTGTGTGTGCTGCTGCCCAGCTAATTCTTCTTTTCTCCTTTTTTTCCTTTTTTTTTCTTTTTCTCCAGGGGATCTACAAGTATCTTGAGAGGAACTTTTCAGACTTTAAACAGAGAGGCTTTGTTGTTGGATATGACACACGAGGTCAGGTCACCAGCAACTGCAGCAGTAAGAAGTATGAGTATTGATTACATTTGCAAGACTAGAAATGAAATTGTGGCTTTAAATGTGTTCTGTCCTATCAGCACTTTTTTCTTTTTGTTTGTGATGACCTGGGCACGCTCTTTCCTCTCCCTTAGTCTACTGAAATAGTAATGAGGAGAGGCTGGGACTAAATCCTTTGTGGTACCAATTTGCTGCTTGCTCCACCAGAGAATTTACAGATTAAATTCACAAGTACATTAGGCTTAATATGCCCGGAGATAAATTTGAATATGAAGGTAAACTCAAGAGTATTAACATCCAGCTGGAACCCCCTAACTATTAAGGCACTTTCAACAGTGTCATTCTCTGGTATTTCACACCTGATTTAAGCTTGCCTGGGGGAGAACAATTCCACCTGCAGCCTGCTGTAACCCGGTGTATTTCCACTTTGAGGGGATTTTACTTGAAATGCTTAAAATGTAGACTTCCAGAAATGTTAAATTGTGCTCTTTGCAAGGAAAGGGTAGAAAATTGGTTCCTGAATTCTCTAAGGAATCTTAATCCCTTGTCACTGGGAGGCAAACACATGTCGTAATGGTATGCTGTGCAAAAAAGCCAACCCAGTTGCTAATTAGTATTTTGGTAATGAGAAGTTAATTATTGTAGTTATTGTTGTAACTAACAGTTTCATGTTTTTTTTTAACTTTTGTAGTATTTAATGTTCCAGGGATGAAGAAGTCCTAGGTATAATAGAGGACAGAATGCAGTGGCTGTCTCTTCCCTGAATGCCTTGGGATAGGTGTGGCCCATTATCCCAACTCCTCATGTTTACAAACCCAGCTCGTGTGAGTTAGGCACAGTGTAAAAATGGGGAAGTGTCAGAGTGATGTCCCTTTTTAGCCACACAAAGCCTGGAATTCAGACTTGATGGTAACACAGCTGTTTCACACCTCCAGGCAGCTCCTTGGTTTCTGACTACATGTTTCTCCTGTGCCCCAGGGATAATGCACCCTTGCAGCAAAAACCTTGCTCCCCCAAAAGGGTGTTTCCAATGGGAGCAGAGTGCTTTTCCAGCACTGTGTGGGCAGCAGGGCTCAGGGGGATTGCACGTCATCCAGCTGTGTCCTGTAATTTAGTGTAAACCAAGCAGAATTTTAGTAGCTTCAACTCCAAGCTGAGCTCTCAAACTCTTCCAGGTGGTTTCAGGTGACATTTGACAGGTGCTGTAGTGAAATTCTGAGTCAGTGAAACTTGGGTTGCTGGTGGTGGAGAGAAGGAAGTCAGTATTAGTGCTTGTCTGTGAGAACAAGGGAGCAAGGTGAGCGTACAGCATTTAGCATCTCATCTGCTTTGGCTCTGAGACTTCCCTTTATCTCCTGAGCTGTGGGTACCTGAGTGCAAAAGGAATTTGATACCAGTTACCTGGAAGAAAATGAGCTTCCCTGGTGCTGGAAAGGGAGAGTTTATTATAAAGTGAGATTTAGGACTATGGATGCTGTTTCTGAACATTCTGGAATGAGGGGTGCTGCTTTGCAGAAATATATTTTAGGACTAGATCTGCTTCCTAGACATTGTCTGAGCAGGGCTGGCAAATGAGGTTTGTGTGGGATACCGAGCCCTTTTCCAAGCCTGCTGTTGCAGACATCTGGTACTTCAAACTTTCTGGGAGGTTGGTTCTGTCCTTGAGCAAAGGATGAGTGTTCTGCTAGTGGGTTCTGTATCTTTGTGTGGGATATCTGCTTTGTTTGGGTGAGGGGCTGAACTGCCTTGCACTGTCCAGGCAGCAGCTCCAAGTGCTGGCTCAGGTTCTGCAGCCTGAAAACTCTTACCCTGACTGTAATTTGTAGGGTACCACTCTAAGTGTAAGCTAAAAAGCAGTAGAGTGCTTTAAGAAACAAGTGCCTGGAGGTGACAGGAATTCCACCTGGCTGTTGGGATGCCCTGGGGAGTTGCAGTGACTAAATATTTTCTTTTTCTTGTTGGTAGGCTTGCAAAGCTCACTGCAGCAGTCCTGCTGGCAAAAGATGTACTTGTGTACTTCTTCTCCACCTATGTCCCTACCCCCTTTGTGGTGAGTCACCTTCTCATCCATATTGTTACACCACACAGTGAAGGGAGTATTTGAATTTACTGAACAAGAGAACTAGCAATTTTCTTAAATTCTGTTATTTAACAGAAAAACAGAGACTGCTTGGTACACTTGGCTCTGCAAGGAGGCTGCTGTAACAAGGATGTCGCCGAATTCCTCGGTGCCTCAGCTTTCAATATCTCAAAAATGGACTCTTCTAGTCACAGCAGCTTTGCCTTGCATGGGTTCAAATCCTTGCTGGTGTTCCATAAACTGTTCTGGTGTGCTGTGTATTCTGTGGACCTTGGTTTGAGGGGAGGACTGGAATGCCTGGAGTACCTGTAATTTGTTTTCCAGCAAGCCTTTCTGTGAATTCCTTCATCCTGTTTCAGCCTGTTTCCAAGTGCTCCTGTAATCTGAGTATAGACTTTAGCTGGCCAGTTAACAGTTGCATTTTGTAATTGGTAAAAAGAGTGATTTTTATGGAGGAGAATTAGAACCAACTTTGTACTGCTGGCTGCAGGAGACGGTGCGGAGTGCCCACGTGTGCAGCTTTCAGATAAACTGGTGCAGGGTTAGAAGCTGCCTCTGTGGGATCCTATTACAGAGCTGTCCTAGCAGTGTGACGTGTGTGGCAGAGCCTGGTGTGAGCGCTGTCTCTGGTTCCTTTGCAGCCCTACGCCGTGCAGCAGCTCGGGGCTGTGGCTGGGGTGATGATCACAGCGTCCCACAACCGCAAGGAGGACAATGGCTACAAGGTGAGGCCTCTGTCCTGGCGTCTCATAGCTGCTTTGCAGCATCCCCTGTCTGCACTGGGCCTGTCGTGGCAGCACAGAGCGGTTTGGGTTGGAAAAGGCCTTAAAACTCATCCAGTCCGACTTCCTGCCGGACAGGGACACCTTCCACTATCCCAGGTTGCTCCAAGCCCTGTCCAGCCTGGCCTCAGAACCCTCTGGGATGGGGGGAACCTGTGCCAGGGCCTCCTCCCCAGCCTCATGGTGAAAAAGCTCTTTTTGCCTGTGTCTATTAGGAGGATAAGCCATGTAAAATAATTCATCCTGCTATAACCTGGCATGCTCGTCTGTGGTGAGAGCACGAGACCACACAGTTTGTGTATCTAGAGCATAAATCTGTAGTGATATTCCTTAGAGTCAAATCAGCAGCTGAAGAAGTGCTCCAGCAATTTGTGTGTTCACTGCTGAAGCTTAAAACTAAGCTAGAGGTGAATTCTTGCACACAGTAGGGGACTGTGCTGAAGATGGGAATGATTTAAGAGTGGATTAATAAAACATTAATTAATAGTAGCATTGTGTTGTTCCCTGGTTTTCTGGGCATTGAAGAGGGGTGGGTGGCTTCACTTTAAAACCATTCACAATAGCAAGTGCAATGTTTTAGCTGAGCATTTCCTTCCTCAGCTTTATAAGAACCTGAAGTAAACTCTCAAGTTTAGCTGAGCATTCTAGAAGCCCTGTGGCAGCTCAGTGAGTGATGGCAGTGTGAGGAAAGGCAGTCCTGCCATGCCCAGAGAGAACTCTTGGGGGTGATTGAACTGCTCTTGTCTTCCCTGGAACAACTTGTTAAGTTCTTCACCAGCCTTTGTTTCTGCCTAATTGGAGCAATGTGGACGGAAAGAAACCACATGAATTTCCCAGGTGCTTCATTTGTCAAGAAGCAATTTCATCTTTGAGCTCTGATACATAGTTGACTTTTGCCAGGATACTGGTTTGTTTCTTAGTCTTTCCCAAGAGCTGTTGCATCTTTCCCAATTTCCCATGTGAATTTCAGCAGCTTCTGAAGGTTTTGGACAATTTGAACCGAAGGTGACAAATGCAGAGGATGCTGAGGAGAAAACAGAGGCAGATTATCTGGGCAGAGTCTGCACTGTGGGCTCAGCCATGCTATTGGCAACAGACTGTGGGAAAGCTGGCCTCTGAATCTTTAACAAAGACTTTTTTTATAGCTGAGGGTTAGATATGGTGTTTCCACTCTAGAGAGCATTTCCAGCTGAGAGATTACAGTTGCTCAGCTGTGGAAAAACACGGACCTTGGCACTCTGCTTATCTGTTTTGCTTGGGGTTCAAAAACAAGTTGTACTCCTTTTTTTGAAAGGAATGCCAGCCTTGGAGAAGGTAGTGTTTTCCTTACAATTTGCACAGCACTCCCAGATATGAGTGCCCCGTTTTGGTTTTTCACATCCTGATATTTCAGCAGTAATAGTTAAATACCAGCTTTTGAGAAGATGGGTTGTGTTGCTGTGTCGGCTCCATGTATCACAATCCTGAGCTCAGAGGTCTGTGTTGAACGATTCCACGTGTCTTGAGAATCAAGCCAGTCAGATGCTGACTTCTCTGTATGACTTGGGCAGAAAGTCGGTGGCATCCCATAGCTAAAAGAATTTATCAGGTTAATAATCCTTGTAAATAAACTGTCTTGTTATCCTTCAACTTTGACCAGGTTTATTGGGAAAATGGAGCACAGATCACCTCTCCTCATGATAAGGAAATTATAAAATGTATAGAAGAGTGTGTTGAACCATGGAATGGCTCCTGGAATGAAAATCTGGTAGATACCAGTCCCCTCAGACAGGATCCTCTGAAGAAAATTTGTGACAGCTACATGGAGGATCTGACAAAGATCTGCTATCACAGGTATTGTATAAAGCAAAAAATTGTATAATAGCATAGATATTGAACCTGTTACATTTCTAACTAAGCTGTGGGTTGCATGTGCAAAAGCTGACTGCAGACAGTCTTGACTGTGCTCTCTGAGGTGTCATTAAATTCACCATCCTTAGGATTAATCTATTTGATTGAGAATAAACCAGCTGCCTTTGGGAGTTAAGCTGCTGTGAAGCACCCAGTGGAAACCATTTAGTGCAAGTGAATACGCTCCGAGAGTTCTGAATAAAAATGCAGAAATTCAGAGTGAAAGTGAGGTGCACATGCATAAAATAGATTCAGTCTAAAGGTTAGGTGGGGCAGAAGATGAGAATAAAAGGAGGAGGATGTATGACATGAAGCAGATCTGGAATAACATTTTAAGGTGGTGGAAGAGCTTGAGTTTGATGTAGAAATCAACAGTTTATTCTTGGGAGACTTTGATCTGTTTCAGTGGAAGGTAAATACTTCATTTTCCAGGGGAAGAAGCTTTAACCCAGCAATTTCTAGTGCAAAGTAAGCACTTTCACTCATTCCTTTGAAATTCATGCAGAAATCAGCAGAATAGTACACCAGGGAATTGCAGCTTATTTTGCTTTCCCTCATGCAGATAGTCTTGTTAAACAGCTGAAATCTTACTGAAGTTCTGTTTCCTCCTCAGGGAGCTTAACATGCAGAGCAGTTTGAAGTTTGTCCATACCTCTTTCCATGGAGTTGGACACGACTATGTGCAGTTGGCCTTCAAAGCCTTTGGATTTCAGCCCCCCATTCCAGTACCGGAACAAAAAGATCCAGATCCAGACTTCTCTACTGTCAAATGCCCAAATCCTGAAGAAGGAGAATCTGTGCTGGTATTTTGGCTTCTACTTCATCAGATTTCTGTGAGGAAAAGCAAACAGAGGAAGAGAACAGGGAGAACCTGCTTTCAGTTGTATTAATACAGTGGGCAATACACAGGGGGGCTTTTCTTTTACTGGGGGTTAGGTACAAGTAGGAAGGCTGTGGGTTTATTTACTCTTACGTTTTGGGGTTTTTTGCCCCCTCCTTCTTCTCCCACCAGGAGTTGTCACTGAGGCTTGCAGAGAAAGAAGATGCAAAAGTAGTAGTGGCCACTGATCCAGATGCAGATCGACTGGCAGTGGCAGAACAGCAAGAAAAGTAAGTGTTGGGACCCTTTTTTGTGTCTTCCTGCAGAAAAGGTGGTGAGAGTCAGAGAACGTTCCCAAACGCTTGTCAGGCACAGGCCTTCAATCCACTCTTTTCCTTAGGTAGATGGGTATTTTTCCTTCTAGTTTTGTCCTTTACTATAGCTCCAAATGCATTTAAAATCAGTTCACTCAGCAAAGAGTAGATTAAATACTTACTGGTGTAATAGTAAATGGCCAAGTACAGCTCAGCTGAGAACTGAGTGGTTACTAACGAGAGTCAAATCTTCTTGTTTCCTGTGTTTTCATTTATATCAGACAAACCCTCTTTGGCAATTGTCATGGGCTTTTTTTGGTGGAGTGGGTTTTTTTGTTTGGTTTTCTTAATATATTTTTAATTTTAATCCTTTGTTTTCCCCTGTTTGTTCATATTGAATAGAAATTATTTTTTTCCCGCTAGCAGGCCCCGGTTGTGATGGCTGTGTAAGTAAAAGCTGTGCAGGCCCTGCCTGGCTGCCATGTGCAGATGGCATAGACTGCTCTGTATTGATCAGTTCTAGGCTGCTGGCAATCAGAGGCCTGGAGCTGCCAGCCAGGAGACCCTGGGGCTTCTTTCCTTGCTGGGCTTGTAAAATCTTGAGGTGTGAGAAGTGTGGAGTCCTATCCGTACGGTGCCTTTGCCTAGAGCAGCTTTGTCAGTGCTGTGCTCATATCCTGGTGCTCAGGGGCTGCAGAATTCCTGTCCCCAGTCCTCACTCTGCCTCTCTGGTGCTCAGTGACTGCAGAGATCCTGTTCCCAACCCTCACCTTGCCCCTCTGGTGCTCAGGGACTGCAGAACTCCTGTCCCCAGCCCTCTCTGGTGTTCAGTGACTGTAGAATTCCTGTCCCCAGCCCTTACCTTGCCTCTCTGGTACTCAGGGACTGCAGAGGTCCTGTCCCCATCCCTCACTTTGCCCCTTTGATGTTCAGTGACTGCAGAATTCCTGTCCCCAGCCCTCACTCTGCCTCTATGGTGCTCAGTGACTGCAGAGATGCTGTCCCCAGCCCTCTTTGGTGTTCAGTGACTGTAGAACTCCTGTTCCCAGCCCTCACCTTGCCTCTCCCTGCAGTGGCTGCTGGAAGGTGTTCACGGGCAATGAGCTGGCAGCCTTGTTTGGCTGGTGGATGTTTTCCCGCTGGAAGGAGAACTGCTCCCCAGATGCTGACGTGAGGAATGTTTACATGCTGGCAACCACGGTCTCCTCCAAGATTTTGAGGGCAATTGCACTTAAAGAGGGATTTCACTTCGAGGTGAGTGCGGGTGATGTGCTGTGTCTCCATCCGAACCCCTGCCTGACCTCACAGAATGGAAAGCAGGCAGGGAGGGGCCTTTCAGACTTCTGGCTGGGAGTTGTGAGGGATTCCAACTCGAAGAGAATGTTCTTTCACCCAGACAAGCCGGATTTCAATCTCCTCAGTGTTCTCAGACTGGGAGATCAGCCTGGGCAAAGCTAACAGTTTGTGTCCCTGTCAGTAACAGGGACACAAATTAACACCTGATTCCAGGTAACAGCAATACCTTAGCTGTGGTTATCTCCCTAGAGAGAAACTCTTCTGTGTGAGAGAAGGGAGGTTTGTGCAGCCTGCTGTGGTCACTGGAGTGTTGATGGGTTTGTAATGAGCACTTGGAGGTTACACAAAGGCCCTTCAGGTGCCCTGCCAGCACATTTTGAGTTTGGGTTTACTTCAGGCGGGGACAGGCAGAGGAGCTCTTGTGTTCAAATCTTTATTGCAGCTTTAAGAACTTCCTAAAAAAGAAACTGGGCTGGGGGTGCTCCCCCCAGACTGACAGTTTAGTTCCTGCATCCAAATTAAATCTGGTTTCTGTTGGATGCTAGCCAGAAGAGAGAGGCGAGTGCCCAAAATCATAGCACAGCATACAAATGTCCAAAGGGACGTTGTTTATCTGTCTCTTAATTAAATACATGTGCAGTAGGAATAAATATTTTGCCAAACAATGAGAAATTTAAAATTGAAAGCAACTCTGAAAACCATTTTGAGTGACTGGCCAGATAAGCTCAATCAGGGAGAACATCAGTTCCTTGTAGTGGATTGGTTCTCTCTCTACTGTTTGTTTTGTTAATGGAAAAGGACATACTTGACTGAAAGAAAAAGAAGCTAGGAATTTGCAGAACCTCTTGGCCTTCTCTAAAAGCTCCCCTTCCTTTTTACGTGTAACTTCCTTCTCTCAAAGAAAAGCTGTTTCTAAGCTTTTGACTCTTTTTGCATGATTTATGTAAAAAACCCCCAGAACAGTGCTCTCCCCTCCCAGCACCTGAAAGTGTTGCTTTTATATTTCTGTAGCTTTTCCTCCTGAATAACTGTGTCTCATCTGATGAGAGGCACAGATGATCTGATGTGATCTCAGAGCATCACAGTCCCTGACACACTTTCCTTGGTTTGATCCTCGTGTCCTAGTTGAGTATCCACTAGGAAAATGCTTTCCAGTGGCTCTTTGCCTTGGATTCATCATCCAGACTAAAGATAGGACTTGTCTGATGCTTCTTTATTGTCCCTCTTCTGCTTATCAATTAATCAGATTTAAATTTAAGGAAATCCCTTCAAAAAAAAATCAGAAAAACATCCTTAAGCTTTAGTGCTTTGACTCTGCAAGTCTTTCCCATTGACCCTAAAATTTAAAATACATTGTTATATTTTCTCTTTGATTGGTCTGTGTGTGGGGGCTTTTTTGGGTTTTCCTTAGTTTGAATTGAAGGCAATGGTGGCTATACTTTTTTTCTGTGAATTGAAACTAAATTGGAAAGAATGTATTTTAAGCACTCCTTCTTTCCCCTCTGTTTTAGGAAACACTCCCTGGTTTTAAATGGATTGGAAGCAGAGTAAAAAATCTCCTGGATAATGGAAAAGAAGTTCTCTTTGCATTTGAGGAGTCTATTGGTACGAGTGCTGATATCCCTTTAAACTGTTGAGAACTGAGGGGGGAACGTGAATAGGAAGGACTGATCTCAGTTATGAAATCAAACACAGAGAAAGTACTTTATTTTTATCCTAGTAGTTAATAGCATTGATATTTTGCTCTCATCAAATTGACTTGGCAGCTCTCATAATAAATTGTATCTGACTTGCTGGTTCTGGTGTTGTGCTTATCTTTCCAGCCCTATAACCCCCAAGTTAATTAGATTTCTCCTGCATATGCAGCAATAAAGCAGCTTCCATGTACCAGCCAATTTTCCTTTGTAGGATCAAAGGTTAAAACTTTAGTTGAGTAAATCAGTGTAATAATCTGTCAGGTTATTTGTCCACAATCCCTTTTTTCTGCCTAGGCTTCATGTGTGGCACATCAGTGCTGGATAAGGATGGAGTGAGTGCAGCTGTGGTCACTGCTGAAATGGCAACTTACCTGCAGGGCCAGAGCCTGACCCTGGCACAGAAACTGCTTGACATTTATGAAACGTGAGTGGTGCTTTTTATTAGAATATTCTGCTTCACTGTTTCAGAGCTGGGAATAATCTAAGGAATATTTCTTTAAATATCTATAAGTAAATGCGTCCCTCAGATGTTTTCTCATGGTAAATCGTTGTGGGGTTTTTTGATGTAGGATGGCTTACAGCCCATCACTAGTGCAGATGAATCACAAGGGGCTCCAGGAGAGCTAGAGAGGGGTTTGAGACAGGACACAAGGAATGGCTTCCCACTGCCAGAAGGCATCTGTAACAGCAGAGGTGGAAGGAATGGCGATGGATGCGATCCCAGGATTAACACAAGGATGGTGTTTGTCAGAATTAAGCCTCGTACTGAGATCTCTCAGATACCAAATGTGCCAAAACCCTCTGAATCTTACAACTGAGAACATTCATCTGCTTGTAGGTATGGATATCACATATCCAAGACTTCCTATTTCCTGTGCTATGATCCCCCCACAATCAAAAGGATATTTGAGAGACTCCGGAACTTCGATGGCCCTCAGTCTTACCCCAAGTCCTGTGGGGTTTACAACATCTTGCACGTCCGGGACGTCACCACTGGCTACGACAGCAGCCAGCTGAACAAGAAGTCGGTGAGTTAGAGTGTGTTTGCAGGGGAGGGCCTGCAGGAGCTGGAAGGGAAATGCATGGGGGGAGAGGCACGTGTGGAGTGCCGTGGCTATTCTGACACAACCTTTAATGACTCGCTGAGCCCGCAGCTCCTGAGCTTCCAGCTGCTGCTGCAGTGGCAGTAAGGGGCTGCTGGTGTTTTGTAGGTGCTGCCAGTGAGCAAGAGCAGCCAGATGATCACGTTCACCTTCCAGAACGGCTGCGTGGCCACGCTGCGCACGAGCGGCACCGAGCCCAAGATCAAGTACTACGCCGAGATGTGTGCGCTGCCCGGGCACAGGTCAGTGCCCGAGCTCCTGGCCTGCCCGCAGCGGGGACACGCCAGGCATGGAGCTCTCAGCATCTGCTACGGTGGCTTTCTTAACAAACAAAACTCCAATGCAGCTGCTCCAAACAAGCAGCTCCCACTTCCAGTTAAATAGTGATGGGGTGACAAAAGCATGGAGTTTAGGCTAGGAGAGCTCTCTGAGCTCACAGAGCCCAACCGGTGACCAACCCTCGCCTAGTCAGCCGGACCAGGGCGCTGAGTGCCACACCCAGGCCTTTCTTTCTCTTCTGAGATTGTGCTGCTGCTGGTGAGTGTTTGCAGCCACGTGGGCTCCCATTGCCTTTGGGAATCTGCTGTGTTACTCTAAGCTGCTGGAGAGGAGCTAGATGTTGTTCACCTCGGTTGAGCTGCTGCTAGTTTAAAAGCGGGGGTGGAAATCCAGGGTGTGTTTACACCACAGAAACCTCTTCTGTTACGGAATCATGGAATGGTTTGTGTTGGAAGGGACCTTAAAGAGAGTCTCATTCCACCCCTCTGCCGTGGGCAGGGACACCTTTCACTCTCCCAGGTTGCTCCAACCTGGCCTTGGACATTCCCAGGGTTGGGGAAGCCATAGCTGCTCTGGGCAACCTGTGCCAGGGCTTCACCACCTGATTATTGCAGTATTAATTGAAATTAATTTAATTGAAGAAAAAGGCCACTAGAGGGCTCTGGGCACCATCTTTAAAAGTTCCTTCCAACCCAAACGGTTCTGTGATTCCATGATAATCCCTGCTGGAAAGGAGCTTGTTAAAGCAGGCAGTTTGGAGTCTCTGCACCTGGTGGGGTAGGAAACACAGCAAAGCCAGTCCATCCCCATCAGGTGTTGCTGTTCATTTATTTATGATTGGGCGCTTCCCAGACCTCTGACATGATCCTGTTCTTTCCTGCAGTGACAGAAGTGTGCTGGAAGAGGAGCTCCAGAAGCTGATTGAGGCTTTGATTGAGAATTTCCTGGAGCCTGCCAAGAACGGGCTGACCTGGCGCTCTGCATAGAGCTCCCAGGAGAGACCCACGGAACAAAGGACCCCGGAGCAGAACCAGTCTCATCTTTGTGTGTGTGTGTGTTTTTAACAGCTGCATTCTTTTTCTGTAAAGAAGAAGCATTCTTTTGTCAGGCTTTTCACCAAACTGGAATAAGGAGAGGAGGTCAGAGGAAAGGGTAGAATTTATTGTTGCAGTTTTCAGTCCTTTTGACCAAAAGTTTAATTAAACACACCAATGCAAATGAACTGCCCTAGTACCTTTGAGGCAGCTGAGCTTAGCTGCTAGATTTTGTCTTAAACTCAGTTCAGGTACCTAAAACACCTCTTTTTTGTGTGTGAAAAGGTTTTTAAAGTTTTAAAGGAGTAATCACTCCAAACTGACAACAAAGGCTGCTTCTTCCCCGAAGCTCTGAGACCTTCCATACCGGTCTGCACTTCCAAAAGCATTGAATCAGAGCTCAGCATTTCTTGTTTAAGCAAATTGTTGACATTTCTCAGCTACTTAACAATTCTTTTGTTGGTGAAGGTGTTCTTGGGCTTTGTAGCTTTCCTGTGTGTGTCTTAAAAGAATTGGCAGTGAAACAATAGTGGCAACAGCTGCAGCTCGGGATTGGAATTGCCTGGTGCCTTTCCAAGGCTTCCAAAGAGCATGAACTTGGTCATTCCGTAGTAAAATTGCCCCTTCTGACTACCATAGGCTCTGTAGCTACTTTTTGTCCCACATCTCTGAAGGGTCTTGGTTTTCTGTATTCATTACTTTGATTAAAATTGCTGGTCAGTGACTCTTTGGATTTTGGATTTATATTAAAAAAAAAAAAAAACCCAAGGAAGAAAGTGGAGATGAGAGATGGACACAATTACTAAAATTTAAAAATTTTTTTTGGTCGTGTCCTGTTGGGTGTTTTCTGTTAGAATAGCACGTTGCAAATTCTTTTATTCTTTATGTTTAAGGGTAATTTTTTAACAACTTCTCTCATTTGTTTTCTCACTTTGTTCAAGTAGCAAGTGAGATTGCTAATAACATTTTCAAAAAAACCCCAACAACCAAAACCACCCAAACCAATACTCAAGTTGTCCTTGTGGTTATATTTTGGGCAATAAAAAGGCCGTGTTTGGCTCAGGAGAGCTGGTTCTGGAAGCTCCCTGCTGTCTAAAGAGAAGTAGCAGCAACTCAGTGCTGGGTTTTATCTGTGTTGAAGATGATGGGAGAAGACCCCAAGGTGCTCTGGAGCTCAAGCTGTTGTTTTGCCACTATTGCTGCCTCTCCAAACTCATCCTTCCTCTGATGATGCCCTTGCAGCTGGATGCCATAGGATGGCACAGGGTAGGTTTGTGTGTGTTGCCTCTCCATGGCTTCAGAGAGCCCTAAGGTTGGGGGTTTCCTGCTGCCAGCAGCTTTGCACTATATCCATGGAGAAGTATTTCAGTGTCTATGAATGTACATGTACTAGAGAAGGTCTGTGTTGCACAAATTCTGACCTGTCACTGCTATTTATTTATTTTTTTATTTTAAGAGAAAGTGTCTCCAAATTGTTCTGCCATTGAGTGAAATGTATCTAATGCCAAAAGCTTGGGTTTTTTTACCTTGATTGTACATTTGACTGACATGGTGGGGAAAATAGGTAAACCTGTGCTGGGTAGGGCTGGGAAGGCATTTCTGACTGCTGCTCCAGCTCTGGATCCAAAAAGGTTGCAGATCTGGATCCCCACAGCACTGAACTTGAAGGAGCTCTTGCCATGCCTTCCATTGGCAGCAGATTAACTCTGAGGTGTTGAGGCTTTTGTTCTCCAAGCAGCAAAGAGAACAAGTGACTTGGGGCATGATTTTGAACAAGCACTGTAAAAAGCATAGTGTGTGTGTGTGTGTGATGAGCCCAGCTGGGTGCTACTGTAGCAGTCAAGTCTTGTGAGTGGTGGTTGTGCTCCTACAAAGAGCAGGAATCTGCAGCTTCCCAGAGATCTGCTTTGTGTCAGTAGGCAAGTGCTAGAAATGGAGAAAATGTTTTCAAACATTTCAAACAAACTTCTTCTTTAATTAAAGAAGAAAACCCAGCTGTGGGGTGTTGTGTCTCTGGTATTTTCCTGTGGATAGGTTTGACAGTGAGCTGTAGCTGTAGAGATGCTTTTGGGAGGACAGCAGCAGGCACAACGTGTTGAATGTACTTTCAGGGTATAATAACTATTTGCTGTTTTGAAACTGCTGCTACTGTTGTTTTCCTACTGTATTGGAGCTGTTTGATATATTTATACTGTTCCATTTGTGGAACTCCTTTATCTCCTCCCTCTGATCTCGCATCCCTTACTTCCCCTACTTCTGTTACTGTGAAGGACTGGAATTCTCGTTCCCTTGCCCCGTAACTTTGTTATGCATTGTGTTAGAGTTCACTTAGTTTGTGCACAACCTTCCTTGAGTTGTCAGCTGTTCTTTCCCACTTCTCAGATAAGAACAAAGGCTTTTCTAACTTGAGTAGAAAGCAGATCACAGATCAAAGGATGCTGTGGATGTTGTTTCCAAGGTGCTTCCAGGTAAAACACCTTTTCAAAGGCTGGAGAGGGGCTAAAGCTGTGGTCATGTAGCCAGTGTGTTGTGTTTAGTGTTGGATGAAATCCAGAGGGCTTGGGTTTGTCCCTTGGCTGTGACAGTGTTTCTGTGGGCCTGGGACAGGAGCTTTCCAAGTTCAGGGCTTTGCCAGGCAAGGCTGAATGTCTGTGAGGCAGAGCTTGTAGTTGGGTTTCTTACTGAGGTTGTGATAGAGCCTGCAGGGTGTGGATTAAATATTTGCAAGTGCTGTCCATGTCTCTCTTCCAGGCCCTCTGAGGGTGTATGAGGGAACTGTAGACTCTGGTGTGGCAGAGGAGGAGGGAATGTGTGTAACAAGGAGAACTGGGCTGCAGTTGTGGCCCAGAGGAGCAGCGTGGCCCCCACTTTGTGCTCAGCTGCTGAGCCGGCTCCGCTTCCCTTGCGTCTCCAGCAGGGTGTGAATCTGTGGAGCTGGGGTTGCCTTGGGCTGCAGGAGAGCTGGGATCTCACCTGAGGAGCTCTGCTCATTTTCCTCATTTCAAATATCCAGCCCTTCCTTCTGAGGAGGGAGATGACACCTGTGTTGTCTGTGGGGTGAGGAGGGCAAACCCTCTGGGGTTTCAGCTGGCTGGGTGAGCTGCTGCCTGGGCTCCCTGACCTGCCTCCCCTGCTCCCAGGCTCTGGTGCTTGGTTTAGCTGCATGTTGGCATCCCTGGTGCTGCTCCTCCCTGGTTCAGGTGCTCAGGTAGCATGGGGTGTGCCCTCCCTGCCAGGCTCCTGAGGTTATTCCAGCTCCCATTTCCCTGCAGGAAATGCGTTTGTGTGACACCACGGTGGAAGCCAGGAGAGGAACGATGGGTCCTGTCACTTGGGCAGGGTGGGATGTGTGTACTGCTTTAGGAAGCACCTGGATGGTCTCTGGTTTTAAGGTTGATACTGTTAGCACTTTGTTTTGTCTTCCCTCCCCCTCTCTGTCCTCTCCCCAGCCAAGGGGGGCTCCTTGCATGGTGACACCTGGGGGGTGGTTACAGTCCAGCTCGATTCCCTCCGCTCAAGAATGGCTTTGTACAAGGTGATTGAAGTGTCTCAAGTCGCATGGTTCTCCTTGCCTGGAATCTTGGGGAGTTCTGGATCTGTGCTCCTGCTCACCCGATGCCTGTTCTGTAAAAGTAGGGCGTATTACAAATTCAGAGTGAGAATTTGCACTTTCCTGAAGAGTTTCTGTGTACTGCTATGTGGATTTAGCTGAATGAAGTGTTATAAGTAATAAAATATTCCCTTTGTAGTCTCAATCCAGGTTTCTTTTTCTTCTTTAGTCAAACACCTCTGCCCCAGAGGCTGAGATGGGCTTGGAGGAGTATCAGTGTGCTGCTTGGATAAGGTCTGGGATCAAGAGACTGCCCAGAGCTGCTTCTTTTGATGGCACTGAGCTCTCCCCTGATCATGGTGGAGGCTGTCCCTGGGGCTGACGGGGGGCTGGGGCCTGGAGTGTCCCTTCAGTGATGGCTGCAGGCTCCATCCTGAGGGATCCTGTGTACCCACTGTTGTTTTATCTGCCAAGGCTGCTGTGCCTGAGCACTCTCCTCCTCTCAGCTCACCACAACTCCCTTGGAATTCCAGCCCATCCTATGCAGGCCATTGCAACAGATGGTGCTTTCCAGGGAGCGCCTCAACCTTCCCGGTGGTGGGGAAACAGGATAAGGGTCGGGAGAGGGTCAGGTTCGTTTGGTCTGGATGAGGGGAGCAGTGGGGTCACCCTGGGCACAGCAGGGCAGGGATTGTAGTGGGGACACTGCAATTCCAGGATCCAGCACCGGCTGTCGCCACCAGCCCGTGCAGAGGGATGGAGCCCCAGGGCTCCCAGTGTGTCCCCGTGGCCGTCCAGGGTTGGGAAACACTTCAGCAGGGAGAGGGTGAACCCCAGGCTTGCCATCTGCTGGCCTGGTCCCTGCTGACCACAGCAGGTCTGCTGAGCACAGACATTTCCAGAATAGCATCATGGGGCTGGTCCAGCAGTGTGGGGAACCAGAGCAGCTCCTGGGGACTCCAAGCCCCTCCGTGCTGCTGGCAGAGCACCAGGAACCGGGGACAGCGGGCTGGGAGCAGCCAGGGTCGTTGGAAGCTGATTAGTCCTGGCAGGCAGCAGTGCCTGCCTTCACATTCAGGTCTTGTCAATTTAAATGTTAATTTAGTAACTAAATTAATTACCAATGTGCCCAGCCCAGCCCGTGTGGGCTGTCCCCTGGGCCTGGCTTTCCGCAGGCTCCCGAGGCATCTCTGGAGCCAGTCCTTCCTGGATTCATCCTGCTTGGCTGCTTCTTGCCGTGGGAGGATGTGGCTGGTGCCCCCTGGGCTGGTGCTGTGAAGGGATGAGGGCTGGCTGCTTCCATGGAGTGTGCTGGGGCACCTGAAATCCCATCTGAGGGCCTTGGGGGGGAGCAGGACCAACAGCCCCCAAAACCTGGTCCCTGGAGTCACGGGGAGACCCTCAACTGCAGTTTGCCGACAGGGAAACTGAGGCACAGGGCCAGAGAGACATGGGCTCAGGGACCCATCCTGTCCCTGCAGAGCAGCATCTCTGAGGCTGAGGAGCCTGAACAATTAGAAGTGATGAAGATCATCTAAAAATAGGGATTTGTAAATGTCAGGTTGGCTGGGGAACGTGCTGGGAGGATGGAACAGCTCTGCGGGACTGCCTGTGCCCGTGTGTCCTCAGGCAGGATCAGGGGCCTGCACTGATCTGCCCTGGATTGATCCTGGCTCCCTGAGAGATCCCCAAACTGGCTGATGGGCATCATCCTGGACAGCCAGCACCAGAGGCCTTTTCTGGGCTGCTTTATCCTGCCAGGAGCTGCAGAGAATCCCAGCTCTGCTTTGGATGGGAGATGAGGTGGGGGGACACCAGGCCCTCAAGATAAGTTATTTTTCACTGGCTCTGGCTTTTGACAGGAGGAAACTTCAGTGAAGGCCTGAGGCCCTGTAGGATGATCCCAGCCTCAGGATTTGGTTGATGTGCTGCCAAAACCACCTCGGAGCCGTTCAGTCCCTCCCTCTGTGCAGACGATGGAAGCCTGGTGGCTCAGCAGGATAACACCCAGCAGATGTTATCCCCTCCATCTCCTCCACCCCTGCCAGCTTCTCCCTCATCCCCAGAATCCCACCTGACCCCAACATACCAAAAACTTGTTTAAAACAGCTGGGAACAGACGTTTATTTGGAAAAATAATCCAGATTGGGGCAGATTAGTGGAAACACGTCCTTCCCCATCTGCCTGGGCAGTGCCGTGCCAGCTTCCTGAGGGGCTGCCCAAAGCCACGCTTGGGGAAAACACACAGCTCTGCTCATTCTAGGGACTTTGACCTGACCTCTGGGTGTCCCCAGCCCCTGTCCCTCAGGAAAAGGCTCCTGATCCCTGGTGGTGTCACCTCCAGCCCCCTCCTTGCTGCTGGGGACAGGATCCCTCGTCTCCCAGAACTGTCACAACCTGGCTAATTAGAAACATCCAGAGGTAAATAGGAGAAAGCCTTATTAACAATCCCACTTTCTTTGGCAGGGCACAGGAGCCACCTCTGAACCAGAGGAAGGGCAAACAGAGCACTGTCCTGGCTGTGGTGGTCCTGAAGCTGCCCTGCTGAGGACTGAAATCCATTTCTGTGCGGCTTTTCCTTTGTGCAAGCCCTTCCCTGCCATCAGGAACTCGACCCTGCTTTGTTTGTGCCTCAGTTTCCCCCAGGTATGAGGGCAGGGAACATCCCTGTCTTGCTTTTCCTAAAAGGAATCAATGAAAAGCAGGGGTGTTTTTCCTCCCTCTGAAGGTTTGGGTTAATTTGTGATAATGGAGGAAGGAATGTGAGGACTGAGGAGCCTGGTGCGTAGGTTCTCAGGGGTGAAGCTGCCTGGGTAGAATTAATTGCCATTAATTCTGTGTGTTTCTGTAAGGATGAGGCAGCTCATGGCTGCTTTTCTTCCCTACCCCAGTGCAGGAGCACCACAGCCCTGCGCTCAGCGAGGACAAGGGTGATGCTCCAGCCCAGTTATTTCTCCTGGATAAATCCAGCTGCCATCACCATGCTGGGAGTTTTGGTCTCTTCTCTAAAGGAGACCACACTCAGCCTATTTCCTACAGCCCTGGGCACCACAGAGCACCAGGGAGCATCTGAGCTTTGGCAAATAAGGAAGAAAAAGCAGATCTCAAAGCCTGTGCTGGCTGTAAAGCGCTGGTGGCATTTCATATGCAGGGCATATAAATAGACATTTTTTGGCTTTTTTCCCCCCTCTGTTTCAGTGATGAGCCACTGCAGGGGGCTCTGAGCGTGCTTTGCTTGGTTCATAGCACGGATGCTGTTTCTATCCTGCATTTCCTCTGGCTCCAGGAGCTGCTGGGAGAACTTTCTGCTCGGGCAGCAGCTCCTGCCGTGAGCTCGGGGACACTGGGAGGTCCACATTGCTTCATGGAAAGGGACTGCATGCAAACGTGATGGCAGCTGGGGCTCTCCAAATACAGGGTCACCTTTGAGAACCCAAAAAGCACATTTTTGAGTCTCAGCTCAGTGACATTCAGAGGTTCCCTACCCCTGCTCCTTTGTCATGTGTGGGGGTATGAGCTGTACAGAATAATATTGATGCTAACAAGCCATAGGAATTACGCTCCCACAGCTGGTTATCCACCCCCATCCTACCCCCTGCATGTTGTCTGAGGGGGGCTTGGTATCCCTGGAGGGCTCTCACTGCACCCACTTTGGAGGCCAGGATGCTCTGGACCTTGGGCACAAGAAGTACCCTCATCCCTGGGGAACCAAAAGCCACCACCCTCCTTCCCTCCCTCTGGCCTCAGGAACAACCAGCTGCCCACACCAGCCACCCCTTCAGAGAAAGGGCTTTGGGCTCAGGGAGTGTTTGGCCGATTCTCATTTTGCCTGGAGGCAATTTCCTTCCATTATCTATGGCCAGGCTCTGGCGCCTGCTGCCAGACTGGTGCTCAGCTCCCTGCTCCAGCAATCCCGTCTGCCTGCACATCCTCCGGGCTTCTCCCTGCTCCAACAGCCCCGTCCAGGCTTCTCCCTGCTCCATGCTCACCCTCACCTCTCTCCCCATGCCCCACTGCACCCCTGGAGTCACAGCTGGGATGTGCTCTGCCAGATGTGCAAATCCACCCCGCTGCCCCCCTTCTTTTGCTCAGGGACTGTGGTTTGGCTGCACTGGGGTGGGAAAGTGGACGAAGGTGAGGGCAGGCTGAGACTTCTCCCCTTGTAACTGATTGCACGGAGTGACAAGGTGACACCAGAGCCCACAAGCTCCGGGGGAAAAAACCTCAGGGACAGGTCTTCAAAATGCAACAAGTTTTGCAATGAGCTGAGCCGTGGCGACCTCAGGATTTCCCAAGAGCCAGGATAGAGTGGGGAACCAGCTCCCTGCTCAGCAGGACCAGCTCCGTGCATCCAGGAAAATCATTTTCATTCTCAGACTGAACACATGCTCTGTTTCCACTCTCCCTTCCTGACCGACACACCTCGATACTGGGATTTCAAGGACAGCAAGTTCAAAGGGGAAAAATGAAAAGGATCCTGCACCAGGCATCCCCTGCCACAGAGCCTCCAGGCAAGCCCGGGATGGAAATAACTGTGCTTTCCACCTGGCAGCTGAGTCCACACGCACCCCAGGCTCAAGGAACAGAACTGCTACAAAATTGTCACTTCAAACCCGGCGCACCGGGCACCAGCTGCTCCCGAACATCCCCGAGCACCCGGCAAACCCTGGCACCACCGGCACGGCTGGATGCAGCCACGATCCTCACTCTGCCCGCCTCAGCCTCCCGCTGTGGAGCCCGGCAAACGCAGATGGAGCAAAATGCAACGCTTCAGTTTTCATCCCAGCACTGAAACTCGGCATTTCAGGATGCCACTTTACAAAAGCTGCAGCCTCCTTTGGGGAAGCCCCGCAGCCAGAGATGCTCAGCGCTCTGGCACCTCATGAATTAGGCACCAAACCACCTGGGAGAGAAAAATTCCTTTAGAAAACTGTTACCTGGATAATTTTCCTGAGCCCCCATGCTGTTGCCAGGGAAAGATCAGGACTAGCAGAGCCTGAGATCTGTGCGCAAGCCACACAAAACCCCTCTGCCTCCCTCGCCACCGAATCGGCTCAGGGAGAGAAGTTCCTAAGCGCCGATGAAAACAGAGGAGTCCCGAGCTCCCTTCCTCTGGCAAACCAACCACAATAACTTCGCCTCAGCCACGGGGATATTCGGAAATCGTTTGCAAGGAGCTCTATAGAAAATAGACGATGGAGTGGG